GTTTGAGAAACGTAGGCAGCTTGCCGGAGACAGTGGCTTCAAACACTTTCGAGATCACAGAATTGTGTGTTGAATGGCAGCCCATCCCGAAAATTGTATTCTTGTATATTCAATAAAAGGAAATAAAAGAAAAGGAATTGAGAGTGATGGATCGATAGTTGCTGGGGTCAGAAAGGTCGCCACGCTTTGGGATCGGAAAAATAATGGTATTTTTCCATGGAGTGGGGAACGATTTAAGATCGAGTGAAGAACAGAAAAGGCGGCGTAGAACAAGGGCTAATTCTGGGAAACACATTTACAAACATCCAAACCATGAAGAACTAGGCGAATTTTTCCGGTTTTTACGATAGGTAGAAAGGAGTGACTGGATGTAAGAGAGAAGATTCGACAGACAAGGTGGAGTTGGCGGCAAACCGAGAAGTGAAGAGCTGTTTCTTCGTGGGGTTCACAAACAAGAATACCAGAGAAGTTTCAAATGGGAGGAAAATTGGAAGGGCAAAAATTACGCAAAACCGCTTTAGTGAGGGACCAGAATGTTCGGTTATCAATGGCAGAAGAAGTCAAGCGCGCAGCTTTGTTCAAATTCAGCATTTTTAGCTCTATGTATGGTGAGCGAGCATTTGTTTCCGGCTTGCACGAAGCGGGTGCGGGATGCTGGATTGGGTGAGTGGCGCCACCGACGGAATGCTGAGTTTTTAAAGCGTACAGCACGGTTGTAAGCGTGATTAAACTACTCAGGGGATCGTAGTCTGCCGGGTTTGGAAGTGTGGAATATAAAGATACATACCTTGAAGAACAACTTCTGTGAACCTTGAGACAAAGACGGAGACATCATATTTGAAACAACAATCCTTACATGGATAACCAGCCAGCAAGTTACGGAAACCACCCCAGTTGGCTGAATTGTAATGATAAAACGTGCGTCAGGAATTAGGTGGTGAAATGGACCGACAGAAATTAGTGAGAAAGAAAATGAGGCAATGGCCCGATGAGCCTAATGGGGGGAAGGGAAGTGATGTTGGAGAATGAAGAGGGAATGGATGTAAGAATGAGGTCAAGGGTAGGAGCGCGATCAATCATCAGGGATGCGTGTGGGGAAGTCAGCTAGTTAACCCAGGCTGTTGAACACAACAAAAGCCCCGGCTTCGCATCCCATGAACGAAGTGTCTGAGGAGTGCTTCAGTCGTTCTTCGTTGTGGACATTGAAATCTCCGACTGTTAGGATGTGCCGCCATTAGTGTCTCAATATCGGAAGATAGAATATTAAAAATAGAAGGATCGCTGTTGCTGCTCGGAGAGTGGTAAACGATACACAAATAGTGGTTGAAAGAAGGGAAACGAAGTTTCAGTCACACAGGCCGGAATTTACGGTTGGGGAAATCGAGGTGTGAAAGTCAGAAAGAAGCGACAGAATGGAGGATATAGGCGCAGACACCAGCTGTAAGAAGAAAAATGGAGGAATTAATTAGGGAACCAAAGATGAGTAGTATCTAAAGCCCTTGTGGAAGAAGATTGGAGAAAGTGGAGTACAGAATTAAAATTTCGATTAAACTTGCGAAAATTAGTGAGGGCTATATAGTGTTGTGAGTTCGCAGGTAGGGTGTGCATTCTGTGATTCATATTTTGTTTTTATTGCACAATGTGAATTACAGTAAAAGGGGGAATCCCATGGACAAATAGCATACTGTAAAAGGGAGAGGAGAGGAACATTCACGTAAGATGCAGTTTATTGATTCTGTCTAAAAAGCTTAA